AGGGACTCTTCAGTGCCCAAACTCTAAATCTGGACTCTGAATCATGAGCTCCTATCCTTTAATAGCTCTTAATAAAGCAAAAGATGTGGTTTCAACCAAAAGTTTTCCAGGGGGAAAATACCTCTATGATGAGTACTTCTTGCTCTATTAATAATCGGATGAAACAATTTTACTCTGAATTTGGTGCACAGCAAAGTTTCTCTTCAGGAAACTAACTTCAGAAGTTCTAGATGCAGCAGGTTTAAGTTCAAGGAAGCCATGACCCATGGCTGTCCTATAAAATAGAAGAGGTGCCACTTTGTTCTGCAGGTCTTGCTGTGCATCTTACCTACAGGATTTTATGGAATCACAGGATGGTTTGGGTTGGAAGGGGCCTTAAAGCTCACCCAGTTCAAACCCCTGCCATGGGCAGGGACACCTCCCACTAGAGCAGGTTGCACCAAGCCCCATCCAACCTGGCCTTGAGCACTGCCAGGGATGGGGCATTTATATATAAATTCACTACAGTTCTTGCTACCAGCTCCTGTTTCAGGTCAGTTTGATCTAGATAGAGTTAGTATGGGTCTGGCCTCCATCAGCTTATTTAACTGACAGCTCTACAATCATGCTATATTGTGGCTGGCAGGCTGAAAGAGGAGGACTTCCCAAGTCTGTATCAGAATGAATCAAGAGACCTTCAAAAAGGAAAGTGCACTGTGTCTGATCAAAAGCCATCTCGCGCTGCATTTCAGTGTGGTGAAAACCACCCCTCCAGTCAACCAAAACAGGTCTCAAAATTAACAAGGTGCACATAGAGTCTAAATGTTTTCTTAGGGGAGAGCAATGGGATCAGCCTGAGAGAAGGCTGGGGATGCAATGGGGACCTCAGGACATGGGTAACTGACTTATGTCCTCGGTACAGGGGAAGGTTATGGCTGAGTGGGACCTGGATTACTGGGAGAAGTTTAGCACTGGCTTCCGTGCTCCCCATCCTCCATCAAACCATAGGATCATAGTATGGTTCCTGTGTTAAATTTATCAGGCATTCCCGTTTGTAGCCAGTGGTTCTCATGGGAAAGGCTCTGTTACCCCGGTGAGTAGGAAATGGCTCAGAACCCCAGTGCATTGAGAGTATGTGTCAATTGTTTCCTTCCAGGCGCTTTGGGAAGGGAGCCTAGAAGTTTATCTCAGCATTTGCAACAATACAAACAGATGCCAAGCAGTTTAAGTGCGTAGAACAGGAAAATGTCCTGTTTGGCCTCCCTATGCAGAGTGGGAGGAGCAGGGAGGGGGAGGATGACACAAAACCCCCAACATTAAGTAAGTCCCTCCCTGGCAGAGTAGGGAAAAGCAGCTAAGTAACGCAGATGTTTGTCTGCATGTATACAACTTCATTTTCGTATTACCAAAGTCTGTCCTGTGCATACGTAGTCGAAAGATTAAAGAGGTTCTTTGGTTCTGTTGGCAGCACAAAGTATTAGGACTACAGGCTTACTATGGTGTGTTTTCTGTTGTCAAGCTAATTGCAGGATTGAAGTGATTCAAAGGAGGGTGTTGTGTTAGTACAGATACTGGATCCTGGCTGTAAAAATCCATTGGAAACAACTACTGCTGCCCTGTCTGTCCCAGAGCCATCCTACAGCCCTGCTTGTGCTCACATCAAGTTTCCCCTTCTCTGTCCTACGCAGTGTTTATGCCATCAGCCATGTTAAGGCTGATGTTTCCAGCTGCTGGAATAGCTTTCTTGGTTTCCTTTGACACATTGGAGCTAAATCTTATCTCCAGGTGCTGATCCATAAAGTCTTTCTGCAGGTGCCTCTGATGGTGGTGTGGCTCTGCCTGTTCCCTCTGTGGTGTTAGCCAGTTTCTCTGGGCTGGGGGCAGCAGAGGCAGGTCCCTTTTCTCCTGCCACTGTTATGCTGCTTGTTGGACCTTGCTCAACCCTGGATTTCTGTTTCTGTTTCTGTTTTTGTCCTGCTCCCTGAGATGGTGAGTTACTAGTGCCTGGTATTGTACTGAGTGGTTGTGCGGCTGTTGGTAGCCAGCAGCAAGAGGAGATGCTCATAGGGTGAAGAACTTCTAATATCTCAGCCTAGATAACTGTGACTGAAAAGCAACACTAACTCCCCTTGGGGAGGTTTTCACTAACTCTTTGTAGCTGTTAGTTTGTATCTTGACATCGTGGACACTGTATGTCTTTGTATATGAATACCTATTTATTGGTCTTCTGCATAGTTACCGCCAGTACCTAAACTCAAGCTTGCTGCACGCTTCAGCCACCAGAATGATCATAGGATCCTAGAATCACAGAATGGATTGGTTTGGAAGGAACCTTAAAGCTCATCCATTTCCAGTCCCCTGTCACAGGCAGGGACACCTTCCACTAGACCAGCTTGCTTCAAGCCCTGTCCAATCTGGCCTTTAACACTGCCAGGGATGGGGGCAGCCACAGCTTCTCTGGGCAGATCCCAACGATGATGGGATCTGTTTCAGGGCCAACACAGGCACTGTCACACCGTTGTGTCTGTGAGGGAGAAGGGAATTTCTTTATAAGCTTCTGCTTTCTATTACAATTCCCACATAGCAAATTACTTTAGAGCCAAAATGTGTCACACCTAGTGGGGATGAACGTGTTTTTCAACTGATAATTTTGGAGAACAATTTTTTTCTCTTTCATTTTGTTGGTCTGTGAGAATTAAGAATTCAGTGGTTTAGAAACAAACTTTTTCAGATGCTCTTTTAAATATTTAAATAACTCAACAGCATGCATTTAAAATTTTTAATTGATCCTCTGTGTTTGCTTTTTGAAGGAATTACTGCTGGAGATCTGTGGATCTCAATGGCCTTGTTGGGCCATGGAACATGTATGGTTAGGAGAGACAATGTATAAATGGAGAAGGCATGAGCTATTTTTGTACACTTCTGGCCCCATCCCTGCATACTGCTCATCATTCCATTAGTTACAAAGCCCTTGCAGAGCTGAGTTAGCTATTCTGAAGTTGCTATTAAGGAGGGCTGCTCTGGTCAAGCAGCTTTTTAAAAGACCTTGGTGGCTCTCAGTGTGAAAATTCAAGTGCAAAAAAGGTGAAGGGCTCTCCAGACTTCACAGCAGGTGGTTCTTCATTGAAAAGTCAGTTTGTTATGGAGAATGGGTATTCTGTGCCTGAACTTTCAGTTATTCAGTGTCAGAGATGGATTTAGCATACTGAGGAATTGGAGATGCATGTTAGCAATGAAGTTAATGGGTGATTGCAGATTCAAGCTTTACTCTTGCAGAGCAGCTTCCCGTGTCTTGCAAATAGCTGGTTCATCCAGAACCTTATCCAGCTGCTGAAAAACAAATGGTAATGATAGGTGCAGCTCCCAGGTAAGAGGGAAGAGCAATGAATGCCCTGTAGTGAGGGAAAATTTGTGGAGATGAATCAGTGACAAGGGCCAGTTTTCTCTCTGGCTTTGTCAAGTGTGTGACTGCTTTATCTAGTGAGGCATGACTTCTATTACTCACTTGAGTATTATTCCTGAGCAGAAAGGGGCATGACTGCTGCAGAGAAGAGGTGGGCTGCATCTCATCTGGCCTTAGATATTGTTGCCACCATCTTGTTGGGTACCCACCCATTTAACACAAGGTTCTGTGGTTTCAGGAGTGATGTGCTGTCACGCTGTGGAGTACGTGGAATGCATTTCAGGAGGGTCTTTCGGTTGAGTAACTTCTGTGGCAGATATGTGTAGGTGCTGGAGTCATCTCTGCTCCCTGCTCAAAGCCACAGCAGTCACGAATGCTGGGATCTGAAGGCTGCTGTTTGAGCTGCAGCCTCTGCCTTGTCTTGAATGTGTCATCTCCTATGCTCACATGAAGCTTTCATAGTTGTGCATTCATGCAAAGTGTAAGCATGCACCAGGAATAGCTGAGTGTGAGGTGGCCAAGACAGTGACTCTGCAGAAACGCTCCCCCCTGCGCAGAAGTAAATGGCTGTACCCACAGATAAATATATTTGTTCTTACGTGCATTTGTGGCTCAGTCATTCAGATAAAGGTACTTCAGACAGTAATAGGGCATGTGTGTTTATCTGAAGCTCTCTGCTTGGCTATGCTGAGACATGAGGGTAAACCAAATTTGGTCAAAAGCCTAGGATGCCGCTATTATTCATCAGGGGCTGAATCTGAAGGAGCTGTTTTTACAGCTTAGAGCAAGAAGTCTGAATTATCTGCGCACAGAAAAAGACGTGTATACACTTTCTGTAACCAGAAGGAAAGATACTTACCCCAAGTTGGTAGAAGTGCAGAAAGCCTTGAAAATAAAACCTTTTGATCAAACTCTGTAAGAAGACACAACAACTGGCAAATGTAGTTGCAGTGCTGTGGTTTCAAATGGAAATCTGAAGGACAGGGAAGAGGCATACTTTGGGTTTACAATCAGCACGTGGAATTTGACGCTTACTCCTTTATGACTTCATTTTTATTTTGGAATGTGTCAAGTACTTAGAAGTTGACAGTAACGTATGTTTAGTAGTTCTTCCTCATCTGGTGAGTTATAATACCCTAAAGGGGCTTTTACACTTGTTACACAGTGGACTACATAGCCGAGTGATAGAAATTTGGCTCCACTAAGCTCTTCAGTGCAGCTGAATCAGTTTGTACAAGGTGGGTGTTAAATCCAGCCAATGTTTGTGGGGAAACAAGTGGAAAAAATAATGTATTCACTATCTTCAATATTGCAGAATGAGTATGATGGCCTTTTATGGGTTTTATTTTTATTTTTAAATGAGTCATAAGGACAGAATAATTACCAGAGAGTCTGCCCTGACGTGCGCTCTCAGAAATGATTGCACAAAAAGTACTTCTCAAATGGAGCTCCTAGCTCATGTCTGGGGAGAAGAAACACAGGATTAATTAATATGAGGCCAGCAAAGAAGGGTAGTTGGCTGGTCTGTTTGAATGAAACACAGCATAAAGTGCCCTGGCCAGTGGTGCACAAAGGGTATGCACTCAAAGTTGATGTTTGCTGTGTTGGTGTTCCCTAGGTCATCACACTATCTACATTGGGGTCCACGTGCCGAAGAGCTATAGGAGAAGGAGGCGTCACAGAAGACGACCTGGGCACAAAGAGAAAAAAGAAAAGGAGAAAATCTCTGAAAACTACTCCGACAAATCAGACATAGAAAACGCTGATGAGACAAGCAGCAGCATCCTTAAACCTCTCAGTAAGTACTGGTTTCAGTTGTCACTCACTACAATGGTCTGTTGTCTAGTGATCTGCTCCTGATCCAATCATGAAGAAGGAAACTGGATCCATGAAAACAGTCATCTTGTGTTGCAGGGTCAGAGTTGTCTTAATCAGTTGCTGCCGGATGGTTGCTACAGCTTGGAAGAAGGCACAGGCTGGAACAGATATTTCATCCCTCCATATCACCTGCATTGGCTCCTGAGCTCATGGCAGCCAGGAAGAGGCCAAATTTTTAAAAGCAATTTGATACTGTGTGTAAAGAAATAGCAAACAAGCATACAGACTGAGTAGGTGCCTGGACAGATCTATTGCAGCTTCTGCCCTGGCTCTCAGGACATGAACCCTCTCTAGCATTCAGGCACCTCATGGCTTCATCTAGAAACAGCCTTACAAGGAGGAGCAGGTTGATGAGAAGCATCAAGACCAGTGCTATAGGCTAAGGAACATACGCATCTAGGGTTTGGCTTCATTGTATCAGTAACTCGTGGTGCTAGTAAGCCTTTTCCCTTCAGTAATTAAACAGTTTTAAGTTTTGCAAACAAAAACATTAAAGTGTAGCATTACTGTATGTTTGAATATAGGGATACTGTAGGGTTGATTATCTGAATGTTAATAGGCAGATGAGGTCTGTTCTGGATGCCCTCTACTCCATTTGTACTGAGATGGATAAGCATAGGAGAGAGATCTTTATCTGGTGTCACCTTTATGCAGCTCTTTGGTAACATCGTAGGAGACTCTCATAAAGTCCCATTTTTTGTGCTGTCTTCTCTGTTGGCCACAAGCTTGTTCTGAAATCTGGGGGATGACTGCTTAAATAGGAGTGGGAGAGTACAGATGAGAGAATAGAAGCAGGTGACAGCCTTCTAAAATGGGAACATGCTAACAAGGTTTGAATATAGCAGAACAGCCCAGCATATGATATAGCTCAGATTATTGAGGCTAACTCCAGGTGGTTGCAGTTTCATTAGAAAGAACTTGTTGGCAAGTGAGGAAAATGCTTCTTGTGTGAGACAGAGGAGCAAGGAGGGGTCATGGATTGAATATGTGAATTTTCATTTTAAAATGATGTTGCTGGGTAGTTGCTGCGTCTGAAGACAGTAGCATGGGATCAGATCAGTCATGTCATTAGTCTAAAGCTTGTACTTCTTGGTGGTACTTCAGTGAGCAGCTCCTGGAAAGGAAGGCAAGTCATGAAGTCTCCCCAGCTATAGTTCGTTAATTGTCCCAAGGAAGGGACATGCAAAAAACCAGGAGCTGGTTTGGCACTGAAAGGCATAATTACCTGCCTTCAAGAACTCTTGGTATTTGAAGTTTAATTTTTATATTTACACCTCTGTGCTTCTTTGGCATGCAGGTGAGCAGAGCCATAGAAATTCCTGTTTGGCTTCTGGATTTATTCATTTCCTAGAGGAATCCTTCCCACAGGCTAATTGTGTCCATGATTGAATACGTGTTTCTTCCATCAGGTTTTGATCTTTCTACCTTTCGCTTTGTTCATCATTGTTTCTGTTTTGTGTCATTTAAAAAAGGGCGAATGGTATTTTTCCTATATAGTTGCTACAGGTTAGTATGTTCTTCTCTACTCATATCTGCATTTACAAATATGCAGTCTTTGCATCTCTCTGGGAACTTCCCCATAGTCTTTTCCACCCTGACCTCTTTGCACTACTTTTTTGGAGTGCAGTCACAGAAATACCACACAATATTCCAGGTGTCCTATGCAATAGCATTACTACTACATCATCTTTAACTTTTTTCTATAGTGTTCACTGTCTCAATTATCAGATACTTTACCAGGTTCCTGCAGGGACTTGCTGTTGGCCAGATCTTTTTACAAGCTGGCACAGTTAATTTAGAACACTGTAAAAGATAGGAGTAGTTCACATTACTGTCTTGAATTACCAAACATTGAATTGCATGTTGCCTCATATCCCTAGGTTTTTTCTTTCCCTTTTGAAACTTTTGTCTTCATAGCTGACCTGAATTATTTGTTTCTTACTACAAACAAATTTTTGCTTGCTAGAAACCTTTCTTCTCTAGTTCTGCATGTGTAGTGATGCCAGGAATCAGCTATTCTGCTGTTCTGCTTTTGACAATCTCCATCATTTAGAAATGGCTCTTTATGTCCATTTTGTTTTCTTATGTGGTTGCTGATCTGATGGAGTTAGTGGGTAGTCAGACTGTTCCAGCGTTAGATGTCTGTCATTGGCACTTTGATGAAGGGTTTTTGAGGGTCTGAATGGTTTATGTGCACTGTGGATCCAGCTGCTGTGTTCCCCCTCAGTCACAGCATGTGTTTCCAAGAGAAGACCAGTTCTCTTCAGACAGAGCTTATCAGCTTACTCAGATGTTCATTACTGACAATCATGACATGAAATCTTAGTTATAATCCTGTTTTGTTTAATCTTTTTCCGTTAATAGTAAATAAATGAGCAGTATGAGGCTCAAATTCAGTTTCTGAAGGACATTAGAAACAAGGAATGGCAATCTTACTGGAGTTGAGAGAAAGCTGAAATGAGATACATTACCTATACTTGAGAGAGCTGTCAGCTGAGAGCATGTGGCATCAGAAGCTGAAATATGTTAGAAATATGTTATGCATGTGGGGTTTAGCAGTGTGGGGGAGAGTGAAGGCATTTGCTGTGGGGCAGGGGAGCTGGTTGGCCAGGTAGGAGAGAGTTTGGGATTTTGCTTTCCTCCTTTGAAGGGGGAGGGAAGTAAGAGCAGTGGCTTGCTGGACATGCATGTGGGGTGCCCAGTATGTCTCTGTCCTTAGAAGAGGAGAAAAAGCCCTGGCGTGCTAGGCACAAAGGAAGGAGGAAATCCTCAGGCAGCTCAGTGCCATTCTTGTGAAATGACCCAAGAATAGAAGAGAGAGGGTGTTGCAGCTCCAGGATTAAGGACTGTAGGGACAGCTGTGTTAATGACCTTTGCATAATGCTCCTTTGCAGGATGGCTGGCTGTGACCAGGGACTCTGCTCACCAGTAAAACATGGGAACCTGTCAGAGCCTGAGGTGTGATGGATAACTGGGTTCTGAATATAATGTGTAGGACACTGTCCTCAGAAGGGCTGCAGAGTAGGTGTCTCAGGTTTAATGACATAGTAAAATGGAAGTGCTGCTTATGTAGTTATTGGTGAGATGAAGGAACTGAACTGGAGGGCATTTCGGTATTTTTCTTAGAATTCTGGGAAGAACTTAGAGCAGTTTCCAGTGCCAAAAGGGGGTGAGAAGAAATATGAAGAGGGACATTTTACAAGGGATAATGGCTTTAAACTGGAAGAGGGGAGATTTAGATTAGACATTAGGAGGGAGTTCTTCCCTGTGAGAGTGGTGAGGCACTGGCACAGGTTGCCCAGAGAAGCTGTGGCTGCCCCATCCCTGGCAGTGCTGAAGGCCAGGCTAGATGGGACTTGGAGCAACCTGGTCTAGTGGAAGGGGTCCCTGCTTGTGGCAGGGGGTTGGAACTGGATGAGTTTTAAGGTCCCTTCCAACCTAGCCAGTCTGTGATTCTGTGATTTACTTGCAGCATTAGCGGTCAGAGTCATCAGGGAGCTTCGTTTTTACTGAGTGGAAAGGTTAAGCCAACTTTGATTTGATACATCACTGCTATTTTTTGGTCTGTCCCCAAGGACCATGAAGCTTAGGTCAGATATCTTACCTGAAGAGGATTTCTCAGCTTCTTGGGTGGAAACTGCAATCAGATTTTGACAAAATCTGTATTTGACTCACCAGGTCAAGCTGCATGGCCTGCAACAGATGAACCTGATGAAACATGTCTATGCTTATGGGTAAGAGAGTGAACAGGTCCAGAACTGCAAACCTTCTCTATAAATGTTGTGTTCCAGTTCAGAACCAGCCTAACTGCGCTCCTGGATTTGGGAATTGGGGCAGTCTGGAAACATCAGCCCTATTTTTTTTTTAATCTGTGTCCAGTTCAGTCAAACATGGCAAACTCTGGTAGTTTATAAACAACCTTCAGCTCTTCCTTCTGGAGCGAGTTAGGGAAATCCATAGAATCCTAGAATGGCTTGAGTTGGAAGGGACCTTAAAGCTCATCCAGTTCCAATCCCCTGCCATGAGCAGGGACACCTTCCACTAGAGCAGGTTGCTCCAAGCCCTGTCCAGCCTGGCCTTGAATACTGCCAGGGATGGAGCATGTACAAATAGTTCTTATCCTAAGGAAACTATTGCTTGAGAAAAGTGCCTTGTTTCCAGACAGGGATATTCTCTGTAGTACTAATGGCTGGAGTATTGACCCACTAGGATTTTGGCCATATTCCACTAGTCTGTGATTAACTATGGTTAATGCACTTAGTGGGGTGAAGGAAGGGCTTAGCTAGACAGAGAAGAGAGTTGATGGTGCAAAGCTGTGGTTGGCATGAGTGGAGGTGTCAGGGCTTGGTCTTTCTCTGCAGCTCAGCCAATTTCTTATCTCAGTATGAAGCGGATGGAAGAGTTTGTTGTTACTTGCAAGGGATGAGACAAGGGAGGAACAAGGAAGGCAGATAAAACTTTCTTCTTTGGGGCAGACTGTGATCTGAAACCATTTCCTTCTTCCTCATTCTTTACTACAGATGTGCAGAGATTTTCCCATGAGGACATGCATCTCTGCTTGATCTATGAAGGGGTTTCTTCTCATTGTCTGGTTGCCCTCCAAGTTAATTTGGCTCTTTTCCCTGGCTTAAACCCAAGGAAGTCATGTCTTTCAGTAAGTGCTGTCATAGCAGGCAGTGTGTCGACACTGTGTTTATGTACACAGCAGTTGGAGCTGCTCTGCAAAGATGCTTGTGCAGAGCTTGCTTGGGTTGTCCTTGGCCTGGCCCAGCTCTGTGCCCTTCAGACATGCAGTGTGCGCATGTTAACAGTGATACAAATCTATTTTGAAGCTCTGATAGCGTGTTTAGAACAGAAACGCTTGGAATATGGGATATGGATTTAGGCTAGTGTGAGTGATTACTATGTCAGAGGAAACAG